TTAGTATAATTTTAACAGACGTTAATAGTAAGAAATTAATATATTCAGAGGAAATAGGTTACTTAAATAAAAATGGGAGAATATTAAGTTTAAAAGAAATGTATAATTTAATTTGTAAAATCAAACATATTACATATTGTCACGATCCCGTGACAGATGTAATACTCACCAAATGTATTTTTAATTACATTGTGAAGAAAATTACTCCAAAAACAATAGTTAAAAAATGTAAAAAATAAAAGAAAATAACTAAAAAAAAAAAAAAGGAGAAAAACATGAGTGAGGAAATAGAAACTAGAAATACGATGATTTGAAGCTACAGATGAAGAAAACACTGAGTTCATTGTGATTGAAAATGATATATCTGTAATAGATATAAGTGACATTGTGAGTAAACTACCTGACCCAAAACTAAAAAAATGTGGTAGACAGTTAAAATCTATTTTTCGTGGAATTGTTGATGTTTTTGAAAAGTGTTAAACCTGATGATATTCTTTACTAGTCTTTTAATTTTAAAAATATAGTAACTTAATTATTACTTTATGTTCCTAATGGAGTACAAAGTAAGTACCTACTGAACTGAATTTTAAATCTGTTACCTACCTATTTGTTATATTTAAACAGAAAAAATACATATAGTCAAAAATATACATGTTTAAATTTGTTACTACTTTTTAATTTGTATTGTTATAATTTCTGTTTTGTTAATTAGTTATCTAAATGTTGTTACTATTTAAAATTATTTAATATTTAATACTTAATACTTTCAAAATTACCTTAATAAAGGGAATTATGTATCAACCAAAGTGTATTCCTAAATTATAATAAAAATTTTATTTAATTGTATTTTTTGTTTATTGTGGTATTTTTAGTTACCTAAAATCTAAATACAATTAGTATGATCAAATTATCTTTAATTTTCATTGCAATAAGTCTGTGTATAAAGATTTAATATATGTTGAATAAGTTATTTCATTTTATCATAAAATGACTATTTTATTTGTATTTTTATAATTCTGGCCATAAATGTGTATTTATGATGGTCATAGATGGGGTCTGGTGGCCATAAAAGGGGGAAACTGAGACTTTTTTTTACCAACAATTTTTTTTGACCATTTATTATAGTAAACAATCTATAACTGTGACCCCACTATAAGCAAGTCTTAATCTATAGGTTTACAAATGGCCATTGCTTAGCTATTAACTAGCAATGTATAACATTAAATTTGTGCGTAAAAATTGTTAAAGTGGCCATAGCTGGTGACCACCATAATTGATATAAAATATTTAGCTATAGCCCACGACATGTAATAATAAATTTAGAATTATGTTTAATTAATGGACATTAATTATTACCAAATAGAAATATATGCAATATTATTACATTGTATAAACTTTTTATCAACCTATTATATTGTTTAATACAATATAATTATTAAATGTTTGATAATATTTGTGTAGAATCGACCGAGGTAAGTTCTAATGACCCAGCACCCTCAATCCATTTGGATGAAGCTATTTGTGAAGAATGTCTAGAAATACCAATCAATTCAATGAATATAATTTCAATGGTGCACACCATTGAAATTATATCCATACACTTAAAAACATATTAAAGTGAAGTTTCCTCAAATTATGGAAACTTAAATGTACCACCAGATAGTTTATTTAATTATATCAATAAACTGGATGACATTTTTATAACAAATTTTTCTACGATTGCTATCCAAGATAATGTAAGAAAGAAAATGAAGAATCTAATTGATTATGTACCTTTTTCACATCTATGTGAATCATTTAGTTTTGATTTCCTTAAAAACCTCTATATTTGATTAAGAATCTACCATAGCATCAAAAAAATCAATAACGATTTACTTATAATACCGAGGAAAAAATCGAGAACTTAATATTTTTTTACATTTATAAAGTTATAAATTTAATAATATAAATAAATGTTTAATATAATTATATTCTATGATATTGTAATCCTATTATTTGTGATTTTATTTTTATTAATGTAACTCATATTTTAAATCAAATATTTGTATTGAAAAAAATAATAACTCGATGAAAATAGTTTTAATTCATGATTTTCTTATTTTATTAATCTGCACAGACATCCAATTATAAAACTAGTGATATTTTTTTGTTGAGGGTAATACCCAGGCAACCACCAACCCCCCAGATAACGGTATATCCGGGTAATACCCGATTTCATGGGTACCCAACGATTTCTGATAGTGGGTGTACCCAATACCAAAAATGGATACCCGAAAGTTTTTAATACACGTGAATGATGAAGCTAAGATCTAGCTGTCAGGAGGAAATTAATATTATAATTATACGATATAATAGAAATATTTTCTCTTATAATCTAACAATATTATGGTTTAAAAATAACGTGTTTATTATTTAGGAATCACTAAACAATGCTACAGTGTTATGTTAATTTGAATCATTAATTTGAGTGTAAATAATCATAAAAAACCAATATTGTATTTTTTATTTTAATATGTATTAAATAAATGCAATGTTTTATTAAAATTGCTTTGGCCCTTATTTTAAAAAAAAAAAATTAATTTAGCCATATCAATCTTTTCTATCAACAACTTAAACTTATTTCACAGTTTCGAAAACGGCAACACTGATTAAATTAAGTGATATCGTTGTTTGTTGTTGCTTTATAGGGTCAGTATATATTCATAGTGTGGTTTGTTCTCGATTTCATTTTTTTGAATTGCGTCTCGTTAGTTTCGTTTGTATTGTATTATTATTTGATATCCAATATGGGTAGTAATCTACAAGAAGTTTTAAGTGCATCGAAAATTAAACAACACGAAGAAGAAGAAGAAAGAAAAAGAAAAGAAGAAGGAGAAAAAAGGAAAATGGAAGAAGAAGAAAGAAAAAAAAAAACAATGTAGATGAAGCAATTAGAGCAAGAGAACGTCTCCACAAGAGAGCAATTCGACAAGAGCGTAGAATAACTGAAGAAATGAATATGCAAATGGCTATAGATGAAGAAATTAGGCTAGAATTAGAACAAGCTCGAGCTGCTGAGGTTGTAAGAGCAAGAATACATGCTATGTTGATCGCCAAAGAAGCAGCTAGAGTACAAAGAAGACAACGTGACATTAATTAACAACATATATTATAACTAAACTATTTTAATGATCTTTATTGTGTATTTGAATGATTTATAAATACTTTATAATGAAATTCTATGTTTATGGGTAGGTATAAAATGAACCGGTTTATTTATATTGTCTTATTAAATGTAGTAGCAACTTTATACACGTATTTGTAAAGTATATTAAAGTACTCTGAAGATCATTACATTAAAACTAAAATACTAAAATACTAAAATAATTTTGTCTTCTATAAAATAAGACCCTGTTTTTAATCAGTGACGTTAGATTTTAATTGTTTATAATTTATATTTTATTCATTGATCATACTTTAATATTTTATATCATAGTTTATTTATACTATGTACCATAATTTATTATATATTTGAAATATAAATATTTGATTCTACTTATGTCTTAGTATTAATCTAATCTCTGATATCCCTACACAAGTACTAAAGGAATGTTTATTAAAAAAAAAAAAAAAACAGATTTTAACTTATTTGGATTTTAAATATAATAGTTAAGTCAATGGAATATGTACTGAAGAAAATTATTGATATTGAATGATTAATGTCAAATTTATTGAGTTTTAAGATATTTTTCATTTATAATTATTATTTTGGTTGAGTTAATTATATTAGAATTTCCAGATTTCTATCATTTATTAATCAAATAGTATAGATTTTTAATTTTATACCTGCCGGATACATGTATATTTTTATAATATTATGTGCTCCATTATATTTCTTAATATTTCTTAATCTTAATTTTCCTATTATACCTACCTAAATAATAAATATCTATTGAAGATATATTGTATTCTGCTTTGACAAAAATGTATAAATTTTAGTCTGATGAATATGATGCACATACTCAATTAGAAATACAAGCATATGCTATATATTTTTAACCGGTAACCCAAGACTTAATAATTTTTTTTTGTTCAGCTGCTTTACAGTTCAGAAATGTATTTTACTTGAAACTTAATAAAGCTAAATTTTGAAATTCTCAATAATTTTTCTAAGAATGAGATTAAATTACGGACAATTTTTATAAAGTATTCAGTGTTAATTCATTTAATAGATTTTCATGATATTAATTTTAATTGTTTAATTTGTGAAAAATTATTATATTTATTTAAATACATAAAATGTATAGAAAAAAACAATAAAATAATTCTGTGAAACGATTATAAGTTATTCTTATAAATTATATGTTTATAGTTTTTTAAATACTTTATAAATATAATTATTATGATTTCAATTTTTTTATAAATTTAGAGATAAACTTGACTTTTAACGGGTATTTTTTGAATATTATAACTAAAAATGGCAGATTAGATCATAAATTAAATTATGCACATATCATACTAATGTATTTCTCTGTATATACTATTATTTTAATATACCTATACATTATAATTTATTAAAACAAAATTTAAGAATTTTAAAATGTAAATGTTAGTCAATACTATTGCATATTTTAATCAAAATTTGAAAAGCCAAACATACTTCACTATTTGAACAATGTTGTTTCTTTGTACTTGAATAATATAAATGATCTGTAGACACTTGGTAACATAATCCATATTTAGGGAAAATGTATAGTATGGAAGTAAACATCAATTTACTTCCCCTTTTTCAGTAATATTAAAGTATGAAATATGTAGATTGGCAACCGGTTATTTTAATTTTTTACTGTTAGTATTTTTCTTACACCAAATTAATTTTTAATTAAAATTTCAATGTTGGGTAGGTATGTATTTATATAATTTTGATATTATGAGTTTCTGACTAGGTAGTGTAAAAACTACATAATATTTATTTAACTCAATATTATTTTATTATAATTAAAACAATAGGTATTATTGATTTTTTTTGTTGCCTTTCAATGTTTTGCCAACTGGAGCAACTGCTCTTTTTGCACCTTTCTTGATGCACCCTAAAAAGTGCGAAGATTAATTTAAATTTGAAACTAATGATGAATTAATAATTTGTAAAAATGTAAATGATGTATCACTCTGATTTAACATACCTATTTATTGTTTTTGTCCTATTTTTGGTAATTTATCTCAAATTTTGGAAAATTATTTTCCACTAAATATCATGTTTGGATAATTTTTTTAAACAACTTAATGAAAAATTGGTGAATCATAGATTGTTACTAACAGTGCCGTAACTGAACTATTCGAGGCCCATGTGCAAATCAAAATCTTGAGACCCCTTATCGTTGTACATTTTTTAGCATTTGACCTTTCAATGGCCCGTTATATAGTACAAGGCCATAGACACAAATAGAGTCCAAATATTTAGGTCGCTGAAATTGCTGAAGATAAATTTAAATGGTATACCAAGTATAATTAACTGTAATTAATATAGATTATATACATCTGAAAAAAAAAACAGGAGTGCTGCATTTGAACTTAGGGGTGCTAAAAACCCTATTGCGCCCCCCCCCCAGTTGCGCCTATGTACGAGGTTTAATAAATCCAAGTGAATTTAACGAAATTAAATTTAAAGATCTTCTATAAACATATCTATCAGATATTGGTGTAAATGAAATAACTCCAATGAGTGAATTCATAGTATGGCATCAACAAATAAAAAAGGAAATATTCAACACGATAGAAGCATTAGATAATTGCTATGAAGATAGGTATTCCCAACTATTTACATAATTACAACCATTATTTTTAATTATATCAGTTACTTTGTCGGTCACATCTGCAACCAGCGACTTCATTTTCGTTTCGATATCCTCTTCAACACTTCGAAGTTTGAAATCATATTTACGAAGCACCTACTAAAGGTAAAAATCGTCTATATGATTTGGCAGTTATGAATATACATCGAGATATATTAGTGTCAATAGAAGATGCAATACGTGAAATAAGTATTACAAGTCATCGATTAAGATAAATGTAATAATTAAACATTATAAATCAGTTTTCAAAATATAAATATTATTATAGACAAATATGGTATATTTTTTCATAATTATATTCATGGTTTATTTTTCAATTAAGGCTATTATTTTTCATAACACCTCCCTTGGAAATTCCTAGCTATCTCCCTGAATTCGCTAACCTGTTAAACAAATCCTATAGTAAAGAGTTTACCTAATATATTTTGACCAATGAAGTAAGTTCTTGTTTTTCACAGTGTTCAGTGACCAAATAGCATATTGAATTGGTCAGGCCGACGAGGGCAGCAAGGCGTTGTTTAGGTATATGCATAGGCGTGCACACGGGTGTTGCTGGGTATGTTATAACAACACCTGCAAATAATTTAAGTTTTTACTCATTTTTTTTTATTATTTTTCTACGTGATTTAAACCTTAAATAATATGCTGTACGAAATTTAATGTGCAGTTCAAAGTTCCAGTGTTGTAAAATTTGACACTTAATTTGATTGTGGGGAAAATGTATGTGATTATAGCGCATCCGCTACTACCATGACCCCGGTAGGTAAGTGTTAATGGGTCTGGTACAGTTCTCCCGATTTGATAACAACGAGTTATCACCAAAATCGAATTTCGGGAGATCGGTTGTGCCAGTCTTAGAAAAATAATATCCCGTATCATAATAATAATAATAAGTTTTTTTTCACCTAGCCGAGATAACCAACGTAAAATTACAAAAATCCTTATATTGAAAATAAAATACAAAAATATAAAACCCAACTATCGCTTATCAATTATAACTACAGATTATCAATATTAACATTGCGTGAATTTTCAAAACATGTTTGTTCGCCACACAGGCTCTTTACTCGGCAGTTGACCCCTGTGACTAGAGTGTCTGAAGATTAAAAAAAGCTAAATCTGGTATTTTCATAATAATAATAATAATAATAACATAAGTATATTTCAAAAAATATCAAAAAAACCAAAAAAAACAACAAAAGAACAATATAATAAATTAAAAACATCTTTTATCAATATATAAAAAGAAACAATATTTAAAAGACCCCAACAATGTCGATTCAAAGAAGGCGAATAGCAAACGGCGGATTCGGGAGTGCACAACTTGACCGGAACGATGGCGAACCGCTTATGGCGGAGTAACGTGCGCACAACTTGCTATCACGTATGGCGGCGTCTACCCGCAAACAACGTGGCCGAAACGACGGCGACTCACAAACGGTGATGGCGTACCGCAAACGGCAGTTTCGCGTACAACGTGGCCGAAAACGACGACAATCGGCTAAAGACGGTTTGGACAACTTCCGTTGTAAGAAGAGATCATACATCCGCGTCAACATACGTGGAACAACGGTACGTCAACTATGTGGACCAACAATGCACGACAACTCCGTGTAAAAAACAAACAACGGCGGCGGGTTTTTCGTCGATGCACAACGTCGCAACATTTTTAAATATTGTCAACCGCCCCTAACGGTCGTTCGGCTGATTGAACATAATTGTCTATACGGCGCTACCAACTGCAACCCGGACATGACATTTTGACCGTACTGGCGTGAACAATGTTTAAATTATAAATTATTTAAAGGAAATTTACATGCATAACATAATAACATTAACATAATAATTGTTTAAGTTATATACATCAGGTCATCAGATCATTAATATTAGCAGTAGCATAATTATGAGGGAGTGCATGGGTAACATAATGCAATTTTCTAAACCATAAAATAAGTTTTAAGACTTGAAAAAAAAACAAAAATTAGGTAAACATATAATACACTTAAATATAATACAGTATTTTTACATTTATTAATTTAACCATTCAAATTTTTGTCAATTCGATTAAAGAACATTATCTATCGATGGATCAATTAAATAAATTTCAATATATAAAATATGATTGATATACGATGCAACTATTCAACAAAATTGAGTTGCATAATAAATGTTGAACCTCCTTAAGGAGTCATTCTTTATTTCAAGTTTTAACCTAATGTGAGCCTTGTCTTAATAGGATTTGAGGAACATCTATTAGTAAATTGTACTCAAATTGAACTATATACCATAGGTTATTGTTATATGATAACTTTTTTGAACTTTTTCAAATCAGACTGCATGAGCATAACATATACCCATAGACGTGCGCAGGAATTTGTGGCAGGTGTTGCTGATAATTAATTTTGAGGCTAAGAATACTTAGTTTACTAGACACTGGTTACTTTATCGCATTACCTTGTTTAAAAGAATAAAACGTAAATCAACTTTTATAATAACTTGTATAATTGAATAATATAATTTAATAATTTTACATTTAACAATTAGAAAATGTTAATATGACTAAAAAGCTTAAAATCAAAATTTCGTAAATATCAGTTACAAAGCTAATCGTCTTTCTTCGGGAACTAATACTTTAAATTGTTCAATGACATCATTGTAGTCAACTTGAGTTAATAGGTCTTGTTCTACATATAATAATAGTAATGAATCAAGTCTTTCCTGTTTCATAGTATTCCGTAACTTTGACTTTATTAAAGCAAGTTTTGAGAATGATCTCTCACTAGAACAACTAGTAACTGGAATAACTAAAAAATTTTTTAAAATATTAAAAAAAATAAGTAAAAATGTTAAGTCTTTCTAATTTAATTAACCATTCTATCCAATTTTCTATTGACTCCGAAGAAGTTTTTTTCAGGAGTATCTGGAAATTCTTTGAGTAATTTAATTTCTGTTTTTAAACAATCAGAATTTACTTTAAATTTTTCTTGTTGTAATTGTAAATCATTATCTGTAGGATTCAGTCGAAGAGTATTACCTACAGATGAAATAATACCTAATGTTTCCTGAGAAAATCGAGTATTTAGCCCATTTATGATGTCATCTAATGCTACATAATAACAATTGATCTTTATTTCTTGTTCTTTTGTTTGATGGAATGTTTGAGTTTTTTTAAGATCATAATCCAATAAACAAGATATTTTTTCGTTTTTTCACTTCAGGAATTATTATATTATTTTGTGAACAAAGTTAAATACTTTCTTGATATTTTATAATATTTTATTTTGATATGATTTGATTATGAAAAACGCGCAAAATAATTATCAAATAATCGAATATTTTATGGTGATAACGGACGCGTTATAAACACTGGGCTTAGGTCAGTTCTCCTAATTTATAAGAGATAAAAATGAAGTTTCCAAATTTATTGATGCCAACGTCCAAAAAAAAAATTCTCTCCAATCCAACCTCTACAGTGTCATTAACATAATAACAAAAAAATACCTGAATTTCAAATTTATTTATTTTCAAATTCAAATTTCAAAACCAGTATTTTTGAAAAAATTAAAAACCGGTCTGTTGTTCCATATATGAATAATTATAGCTTGAAACTTAGTATAGTTAATAGTTCGAAATAAATTACAAACGAGGCAAAAATAAATGATTGCGGGGTGTCGCGGCTAACGACAAGTTTTTATTTAAAAGTAAATTGTGTCTTTTATTGTGAGACTTTGAAGTTATTATAATCTAATTTGGTTTTAAACTATAAAATGTTTGTTTTGTTATTTTTTTCCTAGTAAATTGGGAGAATCAAATCCTAGTGTGTGTACTGAAGCGTTTGTGGCGATAAAACACTTTTGTAAAGTAACAAGATGTTTCTGTACTTATCCTGTACTCGTTATCGTGGTTACCAAAAGGAGAATTTAATCAGTTTTAACCGAAAGGTATCGATATTTACTCTTTGACGGCCTGAGACTCAATAATCGAAATATATCTGTTATATGTCAAGCTTTTGCGTGGTGTATACGACAGGTCATACTGTAAAATACTATAAGTAGATCTATGTGAAAAATATTCGTAAGGTCATCAGGTGATCGAAAAAAACGCGTATGAAAATGTAAAATTTCTAATTGTTTGTCATATTTAAAAGAAAATTGTTAAAATAAATTAAATTTCTACTTTAATTATTTACATCTGCTTAGATTATTTATTTAGAGTATTTGTGATACAATATGTGATGGTTCAAGAGGTGGTGGTGTGTTAATTGCAATAAATAATAAATACTATTCTCGTATGTTACCCTTACCTCCCTGTTTCGTAGAACATTTATTTGTTATTGTCAAAATTAATTTCGTTTACTATATTTTAGGTAATGATTATTTTCCTCCTCGCCCACCTATAACGTTATACAATAAAAAGTTCGATAATATTGATGATCTATTAATTTCCTATCCCTACGTTAAAAATATAATTTTAGTAAGTGATTATAATACGTCAAACTTATAATGGCAATTCACTTCTCCTTACTGTTCACCTAACTATTTAAATTTAAATCAATTGTCAGTAGACTTTCTATCTAAAATTTCATTTTTAAGTTTATCCCAATTCAATACCGTTTTAAATAAAAATAATACCATTCTTGATCTAGTTCTTTCTAATATTGATAATATTACAGTTTCTAAATTTACGACTCCTCTTGTTCCTTGTGATGTTCACCATCCATCTTTACTTATAATTATTCCTATTAATACTTATAAGCCTATTGATTATAATTTATTTACTTATGATTTTTACTCGTGTAATTACTCTGATATCATTAAATACTTAGGCTCAATAAGTTGGGTTGAAATATTTTCAAATCTTAATGTAAATGAAGTTACAAATTAATTTTATTCTATTATTTATAAAATTATTGATATATTTGTTCCAAAAAAAAAATAATAACTCGTCAAAAATATCCTATATGGTTTGGTTTTGAACTAAAAAATTTAATATTTAAAAAGAAAATAGCTCATAAAATCTTTAAAAACTGGTGCCATTAACGATTATAATAAATTCTCAAATTTACGTGTCCAGTGTAAAGTTCTCTCTAAATTAAATCACCAAAATTATTTAAAAAATATCCAGGAAGATTTTAAACATCAACCATCCAAATTTTGGAAATTTATTAATGAAAAACGCAAAAAAAACATTTCTACCTGACTGTATGTATTTAAATAGTTCTAAATTTAACTCTCCAAATTCTATTGTTGAAGCCTTTGCTCAACATTTTGCTATTGTTTTTGAACATTATGATAACTCAAAATATATTTATCTAAGAGTAGTTTCTCCGAATAACTCATTGCTAGTACCTATATTTTCATGTAAAATCACCTTAATCGAAGTTTTTAATGCTTTAAATAACCTTAGTTCAAAGTGTGGTCCTGAACCTGATTTAATTACAAGACAGTCTTATCAATAATATAAATTTGTCCTCTCTTCTCCTCTACTTTATATTTTTAATTTATCTTTATCTAGTGGTATTTTTCCTGATAGATGGAAAACAAGTATTATCCTTCCTATTCCTAAGACATCATATGACTTATCAAATATTTCTAATTACAGGCTTATCTCTTTACTTTCAACTGTGCCTAAAACATTCGAATCTATTGTGTCTGATATGATAACTCCTGAACTTGACAGAATTATTGTTGACGATCAACATGGTTTTAGACGGTCTAAAACAACTACTACTAATTTACTTACCCTTCAACATTTCATAATTGATGCTTTTTCAGCTGGTTTACATATGGACGTTATTTATACTGATTTCATTAAAGCTTTCGATAAAGTTAATCACACTATTCTTTTACATAAATTAAAATATATTGGCGTATGTGGTCTCTTCTTCAATGGATTGAGTCTTACATTTCACAGCGTACTCAAATTGTTGTTTATAAAGAATTTCAGTTAATACCAATATTAGTTACTTCGGATGTTCCTCAAGATTTTCATCTAGCCCCAATTCTAAATAAATATGGAGAGGGATTTCTGGATAAATTTCCCCTCAAGAACACAAAAAAAATATTCTGATTTATGATAAAAATGACTGTTTAGGTGAAATCTTCTGATAAAAATATACAATAATATGCCATTTAAATTCCCCCTTCATAAGAAAAATTAGATAAAACATAAGCAAAACTTTTAAAACACAGATAGGTGTTAAAAAAGAACTACAGAAAAGACCATTCTAAGTGGCTCCGGTATTAGATTAAAAAAAAAAAAAAACACAAATATTAAGGATTCACCTGATATAAATATTACCAAAAATTTTACTTGTAAATTTTGAGCCTGAATTAAAGAAAAAATTTGAGTCGCCCCCCCCCCCTAGAAGTCTAAATACGCCCCTGATTAGGCCTGCCTAGTAAAACTACTTTTGAAATACTGAAGAAATATAACTTAAAAGTAAAAAAAAAAACATGTGTATAATAATCAACTTGATTTAACAATAACTATTTGTACATATTACAAGGTAAAAAAACAATAATAAAATTAGTTTACAATAAATAAAAACAATAAGATTGTAATATTTTATAATATATTAGGATATGCCCGGATTTGTCGTTGAACATAACCATCATTGCGGTGACCAGTTCTCCTCAAAAACATCAATAAGTCATCGTCTTGATTCAGCTGCTGTACGCATTCTCTTATCATTATAGATGTATTTTCCTTCTCTTTTTTGCACATTTAATTTCTAACCTAGTAAAGTACATAAAATTTAAAGAAATGAACCATAATTGAAACACAAAAAACTAATTATATGTATATAAAAAAAAAAAAATCAAATTATTACTTTAAAGCCATCTTTGCACTGTTGAAATTCTATAAAGAACTGATTCTTAACAACAATCAACAATCAGCTTTTCTGTTGAAAAAAACTAAAATATTAGTATATTTTAGGGTTAACAATTAAAAAACATTTTATTATCATGCAAGTATGACTAACATACAATTAATTAAGCATACATATTAGACATACAATTAAGATTTATAACAATACATTCATAAACAATGAGTAATAGTATTTGAAGTTAAATTATTAAAACTATTCAACACCAGATTAAGCATGTCAAGGCAATAGCGGAGTTAAAGCAAATAGAGAAAATATTGGATAATAAAAATAAATTATATTTAATATTATATCCAAAATAAAATATCTAAAATACATATTAGTTTATCTGGCAGGTGTTATCATAATAAAATGTTATTTACCTTTGTATAATGAAACCAACAACATACTAATTGACTATTTAGAAATACTTCCCTGATAGCATTTATAAAAGCTCGTTCATAATCAGTGACAAAACTGATTCTATTTAAACGAAGAGGTAAAATATTGTGTATTACTGTTAATAATGAAGAGTAAGTTTCTTGTGTTTCACTCCTCAAAAGGGCATAGACTATTGGAAATGCCTAAATGAAAAATAAAACGTATTAAATCATATCATAACTGTATATTAACAGTATTATAACCAGAAGGTATTGCTTACAACATCATTGTAGAGTACTTGAAATGTTAGGAAAGATCGTAAGTCCCCTGGCACTTGAGGAACAGTTTTATATGTGGCATCTACTCTAACCAGCTCTACTGAAGTTAACTCTTCACAATATCTATAGATCGCATCAATGTTGGCAAAAACAACTAATACACTAATATCATTCACAATCAGTTCTTGTTGAAAAAATGTTGAGAGTATAATTTGAAATGTGGATGGTTTGCAGTGTTTTTGGTCTCCGCAACCTTTTCATCTTTTTGAACCTTTCTGAGGACTGGATGCATGTATACTTTGTGTTTGCTTCTTAGTGTCTACCAAAATTACAGTTCAATTAAAAATTACAATTTAAAGAACACTGTTAGTCAATTGTTACCAAATAAATATATTATATTATATTAATAATATATTAGTTATATATTATAATATATTAATAATATATAATATAATACTTATATTAATAATAAAATAATAAGTAATTAATAAATAAATAAATAATTAATAGTATTATAAAACATAACAAAAATTAAATTAATCTAATCATAGAAAATTGTCCCAAATTTTGATTTTGTATAAAAACATGCTACAAAAAAAGATCATTAAAACTTAATATCTTTAAATCCTAACATATCTAGTAAAATAGAAGCGTATTAAAATAATTAGTTTCATTTGAATTATAATTTTATAACTCTGGTAATTGCTAACACATAACAATGATTATACAATAATAGTAAACTTACCTAATTATTTCACTGTTTTAAATGCTTAGAACTGACGATGTTGTAATTGTATGTTCAAGACTTCTTTCACTGATTGCATCCCTCAAGAATGATACATATAAGTCAAAACTAAGTAATTATTATTATTAGATTATTATTAAATACAATCGCTGAAAGTTTTTTCATGAAATAATCACAGGTGATAGTCTTAAACAATAACCAATATGATAATGATTTATAATTTTAAAATGTAATCAGTAAACCGTTAAATACATAAAATACATAAACACAGTATAGCCTAATTCATTGGCGTTAAATTCCTGGCAGTAAAAATTTTGATTCCGAACAGTTGGTGTTTCATGATAAAATGTTTTCTTATAATTTTTATCTCTTATCAATGAGGAGAACTGACCCAAGCCCACAATAAAACGGGAGAGTTTCATATTGACCAAATAATAAAAACAAATCGTCCGTAGCATTTTTATGTTTATTCCACTGTATAAATTATGAATAGAAAAAATCGAGGGATATTCAAACGTTATTATGGATAATTTTTTGTAAGGACATCTGGACATACTTAATTAGAATCTTTGTCCTTGAGTATGAATACAAAACTGAAAAGACCCTGCAGGTAGTTGCCTTACCTTGCCTACCTAACAACCTCACCAACATTCTTTTTGATTATTATACTCTACCAGTGGCGGAATTTGGAATTGGTTTTGGGGTGGGATTGGGATATAAATTTATACTATCATTCTAGTAGGGCTATGCCACCCACACCCCTTTAAACATTAAATCTCATATATCTCAATATTATATTAAATCAGTGCCGCAATAACCGGGTGTGTTGCGTGTGTTAAACACACGGGCCCAGGGCCCCAACCTATAATGGGGGGCCCAATGATAAAAATTGAAAAATATGTAGAAAGAAAGAAAATAAAACGATTTTGTTATAATAATAATATAATAATAATTAATAATGATTGGACAATAGATCGATTTTGTCTTGTACACAACGTTATCGTATATTAACGTTTCTTTTGCGACCCGTATAACATAAATTAAAAATAGTTTGGTTGCAATTGATTAAAGCGCGTCATGCGAAGGAACGCGTATTTTGACCGGCCTATATAGCCATATAGTATGAGTGTGTGACGCATCTCAATTAGGTATTGTTATTTATTTTTGTTATGTGCCACGCGGGAAAACCGCGATCGGGCTCGCTTTTATATTGCACGACGACGACGCTCGTTGAAAATGCGGGATCTTCGACAGTCTATGTTTTATATTCGGTCAATTGACAATAAGCTATCCATTTATTTAATTTTATTTACGTCTACAATAAATCATGCCGCCAAAAGCTTTAAGTGGAGCAGCTAAAAGAAAAAAAAAAACACCAATTACAGTGTAATATTTTAAAAACCAATCAGAAGATAAATAATTTTTTTGAAAGCAGTCAACATAACAATGGTAAGTACAAAATTATTTCATGAATAAATATTGTTGACTAACAAGATGTTAAAATGTTAAATTATTTAATAGATATATATATATATTATAGATGATTGAAATTTTGTTATTTAATCTAGGTATTTATTAACAACTTGACTGCAATATTCATAATTCATACCTATATCATGGTCCGTGAGACTCTTTTTTTGACCTACTTAATTTAAATAAAAGGGTTAAAATTGAAATTAGATGGAAAAAAACTCAAAAACTTCAAATGTATTTATATTACTCGATATACTATTATTGTAGGTACCTAAAATTAATTTTGGTTTAATAGTTGTAGAATGTGATGTGGAACTTGAAAGTGTTGGACAAATATCTAAAAAATGATTTGAAGAATATTTTAGACTCAAAAGAAGATGGACAAGACACAACTAATACGTACACTGAAAATAATAACTCTTCTGATGTTAGCACTTCTACAGGTATACACTAGCTCAAATTTATACATATGTTAATAATATTTCAGTATTGTAAAATATTTTTTAATACCTATGTTTGTGATTTTAAGAATCTATTCAAATTCTATAATTACATTACACTTAATATAATTAAATTAATTTTGTTTTTATAGTTGTGGAATATGATGTGGGACTTGAAAGTGTTGGACAAATATCAGAAAATGAATTTAAAAGTATTTTAAACTCAAAAGAAGATGGACAAGACACAAATAATACATACACTGAAAATAATAACTCTTCTGATATTAGCACTTCTACAGGTATACACTAGCTCAAATACGTACATATGTTAATAATATTTTAATGTTGTTAAATTTTTTTTAATACCTAATATTTTTGATTTAAAAATTTCTATTTTATTCTATACTATTAATTATTATTATGTATATACTTTAATAATTTGATTTTGATTTTTTTCTATTATTACAAATGTATTACTTTTATATTATGCTCTATTATAATAAATATTTTAAAACTTATAGATTTGAATAGTATGCTGAATCTCCAAGATGATTTCCCAACAGACATAGCCAAATTTCCATGGACTATTACTGATGCAAATTTAATAAGAAGTTTGATTTTATATGGACCCTGTAAGCCAGATATTAACTTTCCAGTAAATAATAATGGTAAACGTTTTTCATCTAGTTATTATTTTCTAACAACTAAATCTGGTACAAAAATTCCAAGAACCTGGCTATGTTATTCTTATAACTTAGACTGTGTGTATTGTGAATCATGTTGGCTGTTTGTTGATAGATCTTATGGCAAATTTAAGTGGGATTGGATTTATGGTATTAATGATTGGAATCACGTGTCACAAAGTATTCAAAGACATGAATCATCTATTCAACATTTGGATGCTGCCAAAATTCGTTCCATTTGGGTTAAAAATGAAACCATTGACGCTAGTTTAGAAAAACAATATACTGATGAAGCAGTGAAATGGAGGAATGTATTGAAAAGGTTGATAAAAATTATACTTTCTATAACAGCAGGAAATTGTGCTTTAAGAGGGAATGAAGGAAGCCTAAAAATTAAATGTGCCACCGAAGGAAACTTTTTAAGAACAGTTCGATTACTCGCAGAGTTTGATCCTATTCTAAATGATATTTTAAATGATGAAAATCAAAAAAATTAAGTATTTAAGTTGGTCTATTCAGAACGAGTTGTTAGACATTTTGTCTACAGAGTTACGTCATTTAATTTGTAATAAAATAAGATCTAGTAGTTTCTTTTCTGTTATATTAGACTCAACTCAAGACATAACCAAACAAGACCAAGTTAGTCTTGTAATTCGTTATACTACATTAGATTTTGAAAAGAAACAAATACAAATCAAAGAGTCGTTTCTCGGTTTTTATTTACTATCCCATCATGGTGCAGCAAATTATGTAGAACTTTTAAAAAATACATTAATGAGATTGGATTTAAATATTATGAAATGTCGCGGTCAAGGATATGACGGAGCAGCAGTGATGAGTGGTTCAATAACAGGCGTTCAAAAACAAATTTGTGATATTGTACCTAACGCTATATTTGTTCATTGCTGTTCTCACAATATAAATTTGGTTTTATGTGATGCTGCTAGAAGTACTAGAAAAATACAATCATTTTTTGATACTGTGCAAGACATCTACAATTTTTTTAGCTCAAGTTCGCCAAGATGGGCTCAGCTAGCCTTTGGTGAAGAGTACGGGAATAAAATAAATAAAATAACTTTAAAAAAAGTGTGTCCTACTCGATGGGAAGCAAGACACAATGCTTTATTTTCATTAAAACACAGATTTGTTGATGTTTTGAAATCTCTTTCTAATATCCAGCTTTCAAGTTCCAAAAAAGATGAAATAAATATGGCTACAACTTTAAAAAAAAAAATGGAAAATGCTGAATTTATAATTATTCTATGTATATGGGAACCTATTTTAAAATCCTTACAAGTGGTATCAAAGAGTATGCAATCAGTTAATTTAAGCTTACAAAAAGCATCAACACAATTAGAAAGTGCTATTTTAATTATAGAAAAGTTGCGGGATCAATATGACCAAATAATAAAAGATTCAAGGGAATTATGTATGAAGTGGAATATACCCTTCAAGTTAAGTGAAACTCGTCAAAGATATGCAAAAAAGTATTTTGATGAAGTAGACAGTGATCGCCGGCTTACTACAACTGATGATAATTTTAGAGTTACTATATTTTACCCAGTTGTAGACACAACACTATTACAATTAAGAGTTAGATTTAAAGGAATGAAAACTGTGTGTAATGATTTTATTATATTAATGCCTGAAATATTAACATCAATGTCTGACGAATTGATTGTTAAGTCATCATATGACTTTATTAACAAATATAAAGAAGATATCAGTTCTGATTTCACTCGTCAACTTATTATAATTAAAGGCTATTTATCTTCCAAATTTCAAACCAACTATTTAAAAAATATGACAATTCACGATTTAGCTGATACTATTGTTAAGGAAGAGCTGACATCAATATTTCCTGATGTATTTATCGGTATTATAATTTTTTTGACTATACCAGTGACATCTGTTTCAGCTGAGAGATCCTTTTCAAAGCTTAAACTTATCAAAAATTACTTACGGAACTCCATCGGGCAAGAGAGACTTTCAAGTATAGCTTTGCTTAATATTGAAAGACAACAAACAAATGATATTAACATAGAAAATATAATTGACAATTTTGCCAACAAAAAGGCAAGAAAAATGAATTTTTTAAAGTGAGTGATGTTTTTTTTTCAATTTTTTAATTGACTGTTAATGTTAATGTTTACTGTGTTCAATTTATATGTTACCTACAATGTTGATAATTATTTATATTTAATATGAATTAAAAAAGGTTACAAATTATTACATTTATTTATTTGTAAATATATACCTGTATGTGTTTTACTTATGTTAACCTTATTTTTGTTTATATTTGTATGAGCAAAAATCCAAAGTATGTTTTCAAATTTGGAAAAATTAATTTTCAAGACAGAGGGGAGGGGGCATTAATTTTATTTGCACACGGGCCCAAATTGGTGTAGTTGCGGCACTGTATTAAATTATTATTATAAATTAAATGGTATAATAATGATTGTAAAAAATGTTAATTTTTAATTATTAACTTTTTCTAACTTTGTACTTACAGGTTGTTCTACAGAAATCATTGATCTAATTCATTGTTTTTCCTAAGAAAATATCCTTGTGTTATTAATTTTTAAATTTATGGATATGAATATGCCATAATAATTACATAGAAATAAGAAATATATAAATGTATGAAGATTTAGATTATTTAAAAAAATAGTTCAACTTTATTACGACAAGTTTTTTGCTAGGTTGGTCTTGATCTGAATTACATTTTGACAAGCTGTTTTCTTGATCAGTTTATTTAAATTATTTTGAAAAAAAGAAATAAAAGCATTCGACTGCCTTTTCATTTTTAATTTAATAATTGAATATGTAATTTAGTAATATATTAAATTTACACTATCGCACAATAGACACACATCCATAGTTACAGAAAAAATAATATTATTTTATTACTCGTTTTATTATATATAATATAAATAATAATAGACATTGGTGATGTACTATTGCTGATCGTTTACAGTTTTATAATATTTCAAAATAGTTAATACCAGTGTTGCCAGTTATAATTTTTTTAAAAAGCCATGAGTACTATCACAAAAGGCCGGAAATTAACTGAAAAAAAAAATATTAATAACAAACATATTAACGCAAAAAAAAAAAAAAAAATATTAATACTATTAAAATTGTTGGAAATTTCCATTTCTTTCTTTAGTAAAGCTATTAATCTTTTTATCATATTTTAAAAGTAAATAATATGATTAGAAAATTATATATAATAAATAAAAATATTAAAAGTCATAATTCATAGTTTATTAAATTTTAATGTTCTGAGCAGTCCAACATTAAAACAACAAACAAGGAAACAAAATAATAAGTATTAAAAATAACAAAACAAAATTAATAAGTTATACTTAAAAAAAATGTTAGAATAGTGAATTAAAGTCTTTTGAATCATGAATCTACAATCGTGAAACGAACTATGATATACTAGTCCGAGGTGTAAAGTATTAAATATTAACTAGATATGAATATAAATCCGACTCGTAGTTAAAAACCACCACAGATAAATATAATTTGTCTTGATAACAACCATAAATATGGTTTATCATATGGAGTGATAACGAAAACGAAGGGAAAACTCATGGATATCAATGTCGTTGTGTAATATTATACTTATTTATACAAACAATTAATTAAAATATATTATATATAACTTAAATCAGAATTAAGCTCGTTAAAAACAATTAATGGCTAGAAAAAAAGCTAGGAGCAAGATTATGTATTTTTTCAGTCAGATTGAAATGAAAAAGGCCAGATTAAGCCTTGAAAAGGTCAGATTTGGACTTAAAAAGGCCAACATGGCATCACTGGTTAATACTTTATACCACTGAATAGAATAATATAATGATACATTGTTTGTCGACGTCGTCGAAAGCAATTTCCTAGGAAAATAAACCAAGTTTTGCTATAATGCTATAAATAGTCGAAAACAAGACCCTTTATATTTAGTATAATATAGTTATTATAGTAATATGTCAAACACTGTACTCATTTCATTAATATTAATGATTATAATAAGACATTTTAGATTATATAATAAATAATTGATAAATAACTAACATTAATATTTGTTTTAGAAAAAATTTCAATGTTTCACGTTTTGGTGAAATATTGCATGCTTTAAGCATTAAATAAGAGTGGTAAATTGTAGATTTATCAGTGTTATATTTTAACTCTGAGCTATACAATTTTCTTGTCATATATTATAATTGTTGAACTATCGTAGTTTTGTATTAATAAAATAAAAAAAATCTCAACTATGATAATATCCATGTATTCTTATTTCTTATCTTAAAATCTTTTAAAGCTTAGTGCTTACGGAAATTTAATTATAATTATTCTAAAAATAATGCAATCAAGGGGGAATATATCGCCAAATCCCCCTCAAAATTACGCCACTGTATTCTACAAATGCATATTACTCTTTACAACATTGGTCCTGGACAGACTAGTGTCATTTATTTTTTACTCGTCTTATGGTAAACACGTTTCCTAGTAAATTTAATTCTAATACATCAAACATTTTTTTGTAAAAATCGTTTGAATTTGTGGAGCAATTAAGATTTTATTTACTATTATATTAAAATGCCAAGTTGTTTTGTGTGTGGTCGATCAAGTGATTCCAAAAACAATGATCTTGGAATAAATTTCTATCAGTAAGTATATGAATGATTAGTTTTAACTTCTTATTCTTATGAAATTTATATTTAATATACAGTGTGTTTCATGATCTGAAAATTGCCATAACTTTTGTTCTATTGAACATTTTCAACTTTTTTTTAAACTGTTAATTATCGCCTGCGCAAAAGTTATTGTAATTGTCAGATCATCGTGAAACACCTGTACTTATATACCTTTATTAATATATTTTTATTATTTAAGAATTCCAAAGAATAAGAATCATCAGTCTCAATGGTTGGATTTCATTAAAAAATGTAGTGTTGACCATTAAAAAATTAAGACCAAGAGCATTATTTTCTCTGAACATTTTACAAAGGATTGTTTTAAAAATTATAATGGCACAAGATTATTAAATGAAACCGCTGTTCCACCCATTGTAGTTAATCGTGTAAAATCAGTATGTTTAAAGAATAATTTAAATTTTATTTAATTTCAATATCTAAATAGTATTACAAAATAAAAATATTGATTTGGTGGAAGATGTTGTACATATTAGTCTAGTAATAATTTAATGAAATTATATTGGGGTAAACGCTATTACGTTTTAAAATTATTATTACCTATTTAATATAATTATTATTATCAACCAGCTGCAGCTAACTTGCAAACAAATGTATGATAGAATTGAGTGAATTGTGAATATTGATTATTTGAATATTTAAAGGGGTTTAAAATGTCATTTATAATGTTATAACTAT